GGGGATTTTTCTGCTGTTTTTCTGTTATGAATTTCCTGTTGTATTCCATTTTCATCAAAAATTATATTCTACAATTTTAAAGATTTAATTTTAAGGTTTCTGTTATGACTCAGGATATGTTTTATCTTGCTTAACGTTCCATGGGTCCTTGAGAAGAACGTGTATTCTCCTGTTATCTAGATAGAGTGCTCTATAAATGTCATTTCAATCTCACTGGTTGATGGTGCTGTTCAGTTCTATATCCTTGCTGACTTTTTGTACAGTAGCCTATCAATTGGTAACTGTGGAATGTACAAGTCCCAACTATAATTGTAAATCTGTCTATTTCTATCCTCACCTCTAACAGTTTCTGCTTTGTGTATTTTGAAATTGTATTTTGGTCCAAACACACTTAGGATTATAATGTTCTTCTATGGGAGTGATCCTTTTATCATTATGAAATATCCCTTTCTTTGTCTCTAGTAATTTTCTTTGCCCTGAAGAAGACTTTATATGATATTAATATAATCACTCCTACTTTAAAATTAATGTTAGCATTGTACATATTTTTCCCATTTTTTTACTTTCAACGTATCTGTCATTGTATTTCAAATGAGTTTCTTTTCTTTCCTTTTTTTTTTTTTTTTGAGATGGATCTCGCTCTATTGCCCAGGCTGGAGTGCAGTGGTGCAATCTCAGCTCACTGCAACCTCCCCCTCCCAGGTACAAGCGATTCTCCTGCCTCAGCCTCCCAAGCACCTGGGACTACAGGCATGTGCCACCACGTCCAGCTAATTTTTTGTATTTTTAGTAGAGACAGGATTTCACCATGACTGCCAGGATGGTCTCGATCTCCTGACCTCATGATTCACCCACCTCGGCCTCCCAAAGTGCTGAGATTACAGGCATGAGTCACTGCGCCTGGCCTCAAGTGAGTTTCTTATAGTCATCATATGGTCATATGGTTGGATCATGTTTGTTTTGAGTTTTTTTTTAATCTGCTCAAACAATCTCTGCCTTTACATTGGTGGTCTTCAGAACACTTAAATTTCAGGTGATATGTGTTGGTTGTGTCTTACCCAAATCTCATCCTGAATTTGAGCTCCCATAATCCCCACATGTCATTGGAGGGACCCAGCGGGAGTTAATTGAATCATGAAGGTGGGTTTTTCCCATGCTGTTCTCATGATACTGAACAAATCTCATGAGATCTGATGGTTTTATAAAGGGCAGTTCCTCTGCACATGCTTTCTTGCCTGCCGCCATGTAAGACGTGCCTTTATTCTTTCTTTGCTTTCTGCCATGATTGTGAGGCCTCCCCAGCTATGTGGAACTTGGGTCCATTAAACCTCTTTTTCTTTATAAATTAACCAGTCTCAAGTATGTCTTTATTAGCAGAGTGGGAACAGACTAATACATAAGGTGATTAATGATATATTAAAACTTGAGTCTGCCAATTTATTTTTTTCCTATTCATCCTCTTTCTAATTCCTCTGTTTCTCATTTCTTACCTTCATATGAGTTACTTAAGAATAACTCTCTGTATTGTTTTCTTAGTGGTTGCTCTAGGTATTAAGATATAAATATGTAATTTATTACTGTCTACTCATATCAGTATTTACCATTTCCACTTAAGTATAGAAACCTTCTATTTAGGTCCCTCTATCCTTCACACTTTTAAAATACAATTGTCTTAAGTATTCCATCCATAAACATTGGGTATCACATGAGATGGTATTACAGTTTTGCTTCAACTATCAAACATAATTTAAGAATTGCCTGACAATTAGGATACTCTAATTGTAATTTTCTTACTCATTCCAATGTTCTTCTCTCCTTTCTGAATTTCCAAGCTTTCTTTTATTTCTTTTCTGTTTAGAGAATTCCCTTGAAACATTATTTAAGGGTAGGTTTTACAAGCAACAGTTTTACAGTTTTCCTTTCATTGAGAATGCCTTTATTTCTCCTTCATTCCTGACAAATATTTTCACTGGATATAGAATCCTGGGTTGGCAGTTCTTTTCTTTCAGTATTTGAAAAATGCTATGCTACTTACCTCTTGTCTTCATGATTTCATATGAGAAATCTATGTAATTCAAATTCGTGTTCCATATAAGCAATGTGTCCTTTCTCTCTGGCTGTTTCAATATTTTTTTCTTGTCTATATTTTTGATGTGTCTTGGCATGGATTTACATAAGTTTATTCTATTTGGAGTTTGCATAACCTCTTGAATATGTAAGCTTATGCCTTTCACCCAGTTTGGGGGAGTTTCCAGAGAATAAATCTTTAAATACCTCTTCAGTACCATTCTCTCTCTCCTCTCCTATGACTTCAATGTAATTAATGTTACATCTTTTGTTACTGTCCCTCAAGTCCCTGAGACTGTTCATTTTTTTCCAGTCTATTTTCTCTCTGTTGTTCAAATTGGGTAATTTCTATTGATCTGTCCTGAAATTCACTGATTTTATCTGCTGTCATCTTCACTCTATTGAGCTGATCACTGAGCTTTTATTTGGTGGTTGTATTTCTCAGTTCAATAATTTCCATTTGGCTCTATTTTATAACTTCTATTTCTTTGAGAGATTTTCTACTGTCTCATTTGTTGCAAGAGAATTCCTAATTGCTTGTTAAAACAATTTTGTAACTCCAACATCCAATTCAGGTAAATACTGGCTTCTGTTGATTGTTTTTTCTCATTCATGTTGTGATTTTCCCAGTTCTTGGCATTTTAATTGCATTCTGGGCATTATGGATTTTATATTATGAGACTCTGGATCCGATTTCATCTTTTCTCTTAGCAGTCATTCTAGGTGAGAGAAGGACCAAGAGCGTATGCGTGGGGCAAAAGATCAACTTCTAATTTGGCCCCACTGAAATCATGTAGGATTGGTTGTTCCATTGATGTTCAGCTGGAGTAGAAAAAGTGTTGTCACAAAGATTTTCTGTGGTCCTTTGGCTAGAAGGAACAAGATTTTCTGGGACTTTTTTTTTTTTTTTAATTTGTGCCTATTGTTGGTCCAGGTGAGAAGATTCTGGAACGCTCTATTCAGGATATATGGGAGTCAAACAGGAAAATCAAGGAACTTCCCTTTTGTCTTTAAGACCCAAAGCCCCTAGACATTTCATTTTCTCCTTTTCAAGTCTTCTTATACAGATTAAGCATCTTTAATCCAAAAATCCAAGATCCAAAATATGAAATTCTCCAAAATCTGAAACTTTTTGAGCACCAATATAATGCTCAAAGGTCATACCCAAAGGAAATGCTCATTGGAGCATTTTGGATTTCAGATTTTCAGATTAGGGATGCTCAACCAGTAAGCATAATGCAAATATTCCAAAATCTGAAAAATCAGAAACACTTCTAGTCCCAACCATTTTAGATAAGGAATACTCAACCTATACTTGTTTGTTGTGTTATGTCTAGGGCTTCTTAGTTATAAAGGTGAGGACCCAATTGGAATATGGTTACTCCATATTGGCAGAATAAGAAATCCAGATTAGTTTTTAAATTCAAAAGTATTCCAGTCTTCAATATCCATAAATTCAAGGACAATTTAAAATTAGCCCATTTCCTCTAATGATTTTTTTTCATTCATAAAACTTCCTATTTCCAAAGATCATACTGTCCTTTGTTCCTCTGGGAAGCAATCTGAAGGAAGGCTTTGGTCATTTAAGTGTCTGTTCTGTTTAACATTGCAAGCACCAGGATTGAACACCTATTTGAGGCTCTGGAGGATGTTACAACATTACAATATTGGAATAGGGATGAGATCTTCACCTACACAATGGCCAAACAACGGGAAATTCTCTAGAAAAATGTGGCTATAGACTTAAGTCACTTTTCTTACCTTAGCCTAGACAATACCATGAATGAGCATTGTCAGGTTATACTTGTTCTTTGAACTTCAGTGTACTTGGTTCCTCCCTCCTAAATATGAAGCTTATCATGGTGCTTCTTTCCCCTCAAACTGAAGCCCAGCTATTAACTCTAGTATATTTTTTACTTTATACTTTGTGTTCCAACTGGAATGAATTTCTCCCAATCCTCTGTTGTTCATTCCCTCAAAGATACCCAAGTTAAGTGCTTCTACTACTTGCATCTAAGATAGCATCAATACAGTACGAGCCAGGGGATTTTCTCCAGCACATAGAATGTGCTTCACAAAAGCCTACCCTGGCCATTGCCCCCAGCTACCTTATGCAGGTCTGCTGTCCAAGGGAAGAGCAGTTCTGTGTGTCAGGTACAGAAAATCAACATGGCAATGGCAGCTGTGAGTCCCAGAAGCTGTGACATGGCTGCAGCCACAGCTAAACCTTCAAGTGAAATTTTCAACTGGCCCTGCAGTGGTGGTATAGTGGTGGTTGCAGTAGCTGTACCGACAAATTTAAAGGTAGCTAAAGGGAAACAGGATTTATTTTACAGAAGTCTACTTTAGAAATTTTCCTAGGATACTCCAAAACTGGAGGGGAAAACCTCTATCCCACTGTGTAAGATTCTCCTTTAACATATCTTCCTTTTGTTCCACAATATTGATGGAACAGGCAATGCTCGGCACATTGAAGATACAGTAGGGAGCAGACGGCATTCCTATCCTTGTAAGGCTTACCTTTAATAGCAGGCAAGTTACCCCAACAGTTATACCAATGACCATTTAATCAACTGTGAGAAGGACAAGGGAAATAACAAGTGGGTTCAATTTTCTTTGAAATCTCAGCAAGAGCCATATTCTTTTAAGAGTGTCAAAGTAAGCATCAAGCACACCATAGCATTGTGTTTATTAGAGTACAAGGACAAAAAGTGGATGCAATTGTTTCAGAACTAGTAAGCCTCTGAATTCAATGTAATTATTTTAGTGCCATGATTTTCTTTGTGCCTCTTCATAAATATTCTACACATGGGGGCTCCAAGGGCCTCAATGAAAAGGCAGTGCGTTCAATAAGACAGATTTATTGTAAAACAATCACTATGAGGGAGACAGGGGTGTACCATGACTGGAATGCTCCCCGCAGCTGCCCCTACCTCTTTGTTTGTCCTGTCGGCTTGCACCAAAGTTCCATTCAGGCAAGGTTCCACATAGTGAAGCTCCTCATTATACTGCAAAGGAAAAGAATCAAGAAGGAACACTTAATTAAGGAATTGAAGGGTACTTCTTAATAATTTAAGGAGATACGCACCCAAAAAGCAGCACAATCACAGGCTCCATTTATTCACAGAAGGTGAACTCTCCCATGGGTGTCCCTCTAGACAACTATGATTATGTGCTACAGACTGAAGGAGAAACTTCTAGAGCACATGCTGGTAGATGGCAGGGTTCAGGGTGCACCCTTTTAACTGACCATTCTTTGGGGTTGCCTCCAAACACTGGCAGTTCCCTGAGCATGGTTAACAGCCCATGGTCCTGGTGGGAGCTGAAGAGCATCCCAGAGTTGCGTGGATACAGCTTCAGCTACTGTCTTTGGGTTCATGGAACCAAGGGACACATGTGTGGCTTACACATGAGTGGGGACAGAATAAGCCTTGATGTTCCTTGGTCACTCTGCAAGGGTATGTGGGTGCTGATCAGGGCACTGTCCATGCACAATTTCCCATACATTGTCAACACCAGCACTCCCATCACTTCAACCCCAGAATATCCAGAATAGGACCTCCCCCGCTTTTTTTTTTTGCCCAAAGCTCACAATCAGGTAGCAAAAATGTGAGTAGTCTCATCTTAATTTCTCTCAGCAAGCCTGCTTCTCTGCCCTGCAGGGAGGCTGGTCCTTACACATCTGATCATGTTGCCTCCTGTCAATCCCATTTACAGCTCCCATTGCTGTGCAGATGAATGTTCCCAGGGCTTTACAAGGCTCTGGACCCTTGGTCCTGCTGACACTCTAGCATCTTTACTCATCAGCCTTCCCCTAAAACTTGTCCTGGCCAGCCATTATTCCCTGCTGTCCTCTGACATGTCTCCTCTTTTCCTTCAGGCCCTCCAATGCTGGGACCCTTGCTTTGAGCTCTCACTCTGGCACCTCTTCTCTCTGGCTGACTCCTGTTCACCTCCTAGGTCAGATTATTCCCACCTCCTCTGGGAAGCAGCCTCTGGTGCAGGCTAGGCACCGGGTTAGGTCCCTCTTCTATATAATCCCTGTAAATTATAATTATCTGTTGGCCAGATTCCCCACCACAAAGTGGAATGACACCATTAGGGCCCATGCCTGGTCCTTCAGTGTATTTTCTGCAACAAGCACAGGGCTGGACCCACAGTAGGTGCTTGAGGACCATTTGATTGATGACAGTGTCATGGTATATCTACTTTAGCAGTCAGAGAGGCCCAGAGCTCCTGAGGGAAGAGAACAGAACCATCTCTCCCAGACCCAGCTAACTCTTGTGCAAAGTTGGCCTAGGGAGTTTGCGCTTTAAAACTAAAGTCAGCGAGGACCATGCAGGGCTATGAGCAAGGGAGTGAGTGAAATAAAGAGATGAGCTTGAGAAATCCCTCTGGATACACTGCAGGGACAGGTCAAAGAGGGGCTAGACCTAAAGCTGCTCAAGAACAACTGGGATGCATCAGGTTTCCCATGGAGAGAGCCTCACTAAGCAAGCAGGAGTGGTGATCATACTGACCTTGGCAATTAACTGTTATTGAGCACTTACTGCATCCAGGCAGCAGGTAAACTTCATCTGCAGGTTATCTTAGCATCATTTGGCAAGCACCTCCAATCACTCTCCCTTTACAGATGGGGAAACTAAGGCACGGCAAAAATGATCGACTTGCCCAAAGACACCAGAGAGTAAATGAGGGTGGTGGAGTCCAGATTCAAATCCAGGCAGTCTGACCTCACAGCCACTGACAACAGGACCTCAATGCCCCCAACTCATCCTCTCTGGCCCCCAAACCTCCAGATCTCCCCATCAGTCAGCCTTGTGCCCTTTCATCTTTGCTTTTAGTCATATAAAAAGCGTTTGAAAAAATATCCCAATGGTTTGAGGGCTTAAATATCCTCTAACGAGGCATGGAGAAAAAAATATATTTATGACATTAGCCATTAAGAAATGAAAGTATGACTTTTAGTCAGCAAACAGAACATCATCTCAGGATCCAAGAAGCAACTGCACAGTTCAATATGAAGGAAAACTCCTCCAAAGCTCTCAATCTCTGTTGGACTGACCCTGGAAGTTGCTGAGAAAACAGCCATTCCCTTCTCCTTCCCTTCCCTTGCTGACTCATTTGGTTTAGGGTGACAGTACACTGATTTCTAAGGCCTGAACCACAAAGGGTCTTAGCCAGCCACAGACATCCAGTTCCCCTCTGTTGGACACAACCTCTCATAGCCTGCCTTGCAGTTAGGGGCAAATGATCATGACATAAGGAAAAGTTTGATGGGCAGATTCAATGAAATGTTTTCCTGCCATTAAGGGAAAACTCATCTATGCCCACTCTTTTCTTCTTGCTTGGGATGCTATTGTGGAGGTGCTGCAGCCATTTTGCAACTATGAGGTTACAAGACAAAGAATGGAATGCAAAGCCCAAGGAAGACAGAGCAGGAAGATGGAGCCAGTGTGGGCCGCCGAAGACAACATTGAGCTACTGTGCAAAAGCTGCAGCCACCCTCCTCCAGGTTTCTTACATGCCATTATCAGATGTTTGTATGCTGAACCAACCTTTCCTCACCTGTTCTGTAACCTAGAGCCCAACACTTTCCTGAGGTTCCCACCGTGGTTTTACTTCCTCTCATTCTTCCATTTTGCAGGTAAACTGAATCACTTCATTGACATGCTACCTAATACACACTCTCAAAGTTGATTCCTGGGGTTGTACAGTTTGAGCTGGGAGTCAGGTCACTTGGGTCCAAGTCCTGTCTCTACCATGTACTCACTGTGTGGCCTTGGGGAAGTTGCTAAGCCACTCTGATCCCAGAATCTTATGCATAAGAAGATACTAATTCACCTTCTTATCTCCCTCTGGGGGCCCCTGCAGAAACTGAGTGAGGCAACAGACCTGAAACTGCCTTGCTAATATAAAAGTCTATACTTGTGGGGGCTCCAGAGGGGATTTAAAAGTCAAGAAGACCAAGGAGTTCTTGACCTCATCAGGGAGGTACATGTGCAGTAATCAAAACCATGCTTGCCATGACTGTGTGTGCTATGGCCTCAGTGGAGGAATCCACTCTTCTGAATCCCAGCCAGCTTATTAGTGGCATCATCCAAGCTTGCAGTTGACTAATTTCCCTTGACTGCATCAGGATAAAGCTATGCCGAGCAATCTGGTCTATATCACCAGAGGGAGCCGGGCTCAGCCATGTGTGTAAGGGAACTGCACACCAGGCAGCTGTACCAAGGAGGCCTGCTAGCTGTGCATGCTCCTCTCACTACCCAACAGCTCCTCCCAAGGGGGACCCCAAGGATGCCCTGTACACAGAACTGCTTCCAGACTCCTCGCAGTCCTTTATTTGGAAATCCTTCAGCTTCTGCATTTTTATGTATGTTCTCTAGATTTCTATTTTGTGAAATCATGATGTGGAAGGGCCATATATATTTACAACTCAAGATTTGGTCACCTCTTGCCCTAAGACACAACAGCCTTATAAATAGCTCTCCTTGATCCCTAATGAAATAATCTAATATCAATAGTCTAAGGAAGAAAACGATACTATGTACATCATCACCAGTTAGATGCAATTTCCTTCTACAATTTGTTTTTACTCCCCTGCACTACCAGGATTGAACCCTAAAGAAGTACTTAACCTTTGCCCTTCCTGCCCAAGTGGTTAGTCCTTCTTGCAAATTTCTGGGAAATGGGAAGAGTCTCTTAGGGAGAGGGGAGTGGGCCCAGGTTGCCCTGGAAATGGGTCCAGTCCAGCCCACCAACCACATGGTGAGGAAATGGACACACGGCTTTCACCCTTTAAAGAGCTTAGAAGCTGCCACGTAGCACACAGGGACTCGGACGCTGTAGGCTATCTTCTCCCTGCTTCCTTCCTGGTTGGCTTTCCTTTTCTGATTCTCACAAGGGTAGAACAGTAGAGCTAAAGCAACTGAGGCAGGCAGGCCTGGGTTCAAATCCTGACTCTGCCACATGCTTGCTGGGTGACCTTGGCCCCAGCTTTTGTGTTGGGGAAACAGGTATTCTAACTGCACCTCTCTCATGAGCTCACTGTGAGGATGAAATAACAGTCAACACAGAACCTGGCACATAAGAATGAGAAAGGCATCTAGGCGCATAGGCACAAATGCACAAAAAAGAAAGAGAATATATGTGTGAGTGTGATGTGTGCTACATAGAGGGAAAGGCCAACAGATAACACCCTGCACCCAGAGCTGGAGCTTGCTATGAAGGAAGAAGGTGATGTCAGTGATGCAAAGTGACCCCTTCTTTGGAACAGGGGCATGTGTCCTTGGCCTTCTCTGGAGAACAGGGATCTGCATTTGTTGGGGATAAGATGCCATGTCATCAGGCACATGTCACTGTCTACATACCCAAGACAAGCCCATGATGTCTGGCCACACATTGTCCCACTCTAAGCCACCCTCTGAATCCTCCCAGGGACCAGGGTCTTTGGCAGACAGGGAGCCAAGATGGTGCAGCCAGCTTACTGGCAAATCCCCATGTAGGAAGGCATCTGCCACAGAACTCTTCACGTCTTTATTTGCTCACTGAATTTACCCTAAGCACCTACTGTGTGCTGGGGACATAAAACACTGGCTAAGTTTGCTCATGATGATCATTGTAAAGTGACAACCATTTTTTTTCTTACTTTTCTTAGTAAAAGAGTATGTTCATTCCATCTGAACATAAGGTCTGTTTTTCCTTTTGTTTGTTTTTGTTTGTTTGTTTTTGAGATGGGGGTCTCATTCAGGTATCACCCAGGCTGGAGTGCAGTGGTGTGATCACAGCTCACTGCAGCCTCCACCTCCCAGGGTCAAGCAATCCTCCTGACTCAGCCTCCCAAAGATCTCGGACCACAGGCACATGCCACCACATCCAGCTAGTTTTTTTATTATTATTTGCAGAGAGAAGGTCTCCCTATGTTGCCCAGGCTGGTCTCGAACTCCTGGGCTCAAGCAATCCTCCTGCCTCAGCCTCCCAAAGTACTAGGATTACAGGCATGAGC